CCAACCCCGTAAGACCTTCGTTCGTCTTCGGAACACAAATAAAGATATTTTTGATTAAATTTGAGAGCTGTATAACTACCACATTGGCTCCTAAGGGACTGCCTCTTGACGGCCCAGAAAGTCAATGAAGAAAATGTTTAAATATCCCAAGTGACTAGCGTGGCTCAACTATAAGTTTATCAAGCGACGCGAATACTTTTTGTGCGAAAAAACAATAAAAAATAACGAATTTATTCGACTATTTCTTTTCTTCCTTGTAGGCCAGAACGAGAATTACTTATAGATTTCCACGACGCATGCGTGAGATTTGCGATCTGCGTACAACAGCTTACACTACTTCAGATCGCAATTCTCGCGCATGCGTCGTGGAAATCTATAAGGAAGTCTCGTTCTGGCCTACAAGGAAGAAAAGAAATAGTCGAATAAACTCGTTATTTTTTATTGTTTTTTCGCACAAAAAGTATTCGCGTCGCTTGATAAACTTATAGTTGAGCCACGCTAGTCACTTGGGATATTTAAACATTTTCTTCATTGACTTTCTGGGCCGTCAAGAGGCAGTCCCTCAGGAGCCAATGTGGTAGTTATACAGCTCTCAAATTTAATCAAAAATATCTTCATTTGTGTTCCGAAGACGAACGAAGGTCTTACGGGGTTGGTACAGCATGGGGGTGAGTAATTAATGACTTAATTTTCATTTTTGGGTGAACTAACCCTTTAAGTATGTGGCAAAAACTTAGATCTATATATTACCATTGCACTCGGTTACACGAATTTGAAAACTTATCGGCGTGAATTGTCTATTTTTTTCAATAGTCAAGTGATGTACAAAGCACAGCTCACATAGAAGCCACTTTCAAACCGTGAGAATGACCAACTTGAATTGGACATGTTGCGGAATCTGCATAGGAAAATCTCACGCAATCAATATTGAAATGACATGATTTCGTCTGTGAAAATTCGCTGAACAATGGTAAATGTGCCCCACCTACCCTTATTTAATCTCAAAATCTTTTTATTGAAATCTGAGAGAAATTTATTTTATTTATTTTTCAGTTTCTACTTCACGTGTCTTTTGGTCAGGAGATTCGGCACTTTTTCAGAAGACGCCTAATGGCGCCCCCTACCGTATAACAGTGAAAACACAGAGAAAAATGAAAATATTGAGATCATATAAATTTGACATCATTCATGTTCAGAACACAAATCTCAATATCTTTTTAATGAAATCGGAGAGTTTTCTGTCCCTCCATTGACAGGCTACACAACTACCACTTTCAAGCCAGAGAATGCAGCAAAAAAGAGAGATTAATATTTTATAAATAAAGTTGTACATAATCTTTTTTTTTTAACAAACAACTCACTGCTTCATAAAATTTACTTTAAACCATTGGAGTCACATGGATTACTTTAATGATGTCTTTACTAACTTTCTGGGGCTTGAAAATGGTAGTTGCATAGCTGTCAAAAGATTGACAAAAAACTCTCAGATTTCATTAAAAAGATATTGAGATTTGTGTTCTGAACATGAACGATGTTAAATTTATATGAGCTCAATATTTTCACTCAATGTTTTTAGTTTTTATCAACTCTCTCCCCGCGATTGACAGCAATTTCTGACAGCGTTTCGACTTTCTGTGTTTTCACTGTTATAAGGTAGGGGGCGCCATTAGGCGTCTTCTGAAAAAGTGCTGAATCTCCTGACCAAAAGACACGTGAAGAAGAAACAGAAAAAAAAAACCAATAAATTCAAGCACATGCAAAATAATCAACATTAAACAGCATATAAATCAAAACTGCCTAATGTTACCGAATGAAATGTCGACGCAGAACAAGCTATGGGGCCGTGCAAGTTTTGGGGTGTTGAGGGAATCTACTCAATCTGTTTTGATCAGATGTAGTCTGACAAAAATGCAATTTTCTTAAAAATAGAATACATCAAGCTACAACAAAACAGGTTTGTTGTTTAAAAGCAGAGGCTCTGTTCTGTCTTGTGACATGTTGCGTGTTCAGATATTCATACAACAAAATATTCTGGGGGCCATGAAACTTTTGTGAAAATGATCAAAAATGCTGACGGTGGCAGGCAAATTTTTTTAAACAACGAGTTAATTAGTCAATTTTTGGCATGCCGTTTTATCTCAATGTAAATTCCACTGTATTCTTCAGCAGATTTGACTGATCAAAAGCACAGTTTGAACACAGTCAGACATCAGTCTGTGCTTCTGAAGGTGATGCAGAAGTTTTTCCTCCATTTCTGAAAGTCAAGCGTACATTCATCTCACTCTCCACCTGCTGATTTAATGATGAAACCACTGAGCCGTTTCATTGCCGTCTCGCGAGTGTGTTATAATGTCGAGTCTCTGCCTCACAGCACTCATCTTCTTTCTGCATTGCAAACATGGGCGTCATTTCTTTGTGGCCTTTTACTTAGCAAGCATCTTCTGCCACTAGAGAGTAAATAGATGGGCTTCGCTGAGGGTAGCTCAAATTGATTTGCTTGCTCAAACAATTTGTTCTTGCTTTGCACTGGCTAAATGACTTCACAGCCATTGATCCATTGACATGACACATCATCCTGTATTTACCATGTTTTTGACTTCTCGCTCGCTTTGACTTATTGGTTACCTTCATTTTATAAAGACAACGAAAAGTCAACTGTAAGGGATTTTTTTTTTATTAACTAACCAATTAATGAGGCAAAACCCTAAAATTCCCATTTGATGATTAATTTGAAGCTTTTAATTAATTTTGGGGACATTATATGTCATTTATTTCAGGAAAAATCATGTCTAAACTTGGACAAAGAGTAGTACTTAATCCCTGTTGTACTAAAAGTTTAATTGGGAGGAATAATTCAAGTCTAGATTTTAATGATACCGAGACCCAGCCAATTCTGTCCTCTTTAGAGGGCATTCACTTTTACATCTCACTGTTTCACATTCTGGACATGAAACTGCAAAAAATCTATTACAAAAAAATTAAATATTATATATACAGTATATGCATACTCACCTAAAGGATTATAAGGAACACCATACCTAATACTGTGTTTGACCCCCTTTCGCCTTCAGAACTGCCTTAATTGAGGATATTAGGTACATGGTGGCCATAAAGGGATGGACATGTTCAGAAACAATGCTCAGGTAGGCAGTGGCATTTAAACGATGCCCAATTGGCACTAAGGGGCCTAAAGTGTGCCAAGAAAACATCCCCTACACCATTACACCACCACCACCAGCTGCACAGTGGTAACAAGGCATGATGGATCATGTTCTCATTCTGTTTACGCCAAATTCTGACTCTACCATCTGAATGTCTCAACAGAAATCGAGACTCATCAGACCAGTCGGCCCATTCTCCTCTGACCTCTAGCATCAACAAGGTTTTTTCGCCCACAGGACTGCCGCATACTGGTTGTTTTTCCCTTTTCACACCATTCTTTGTAAACCCTAGAAATGGTTGTGCGTGAAAATCCCAGTAACTGAGCAGATTGTGAAATACTCAGACCGGCCCGTCTGGCACCAACAACCATGCCACGCTCAAAATTGCTTAAATCACCTTTCTTTCCCATTCTGACATTCAGTTTGGAGTTCAGGAGATTGTCTTGACCAGGACCACAGCCCTAAATGCATTGAAGCAATTGCCATGTGATTGGTTGACATACGTGTACAGTATATTTGTTTTTGACAAAAGAGAAAAAAGGCTCTGAGTATGATGTTTGCACTTCACAATCTTTAAAACCAAGTACGCTTTCTTGCAAAGCAAACATACCTGATGTCTCTACATGTCACATTCTTCTAGGCCTTTGGGCTGTTAGAGGCTTAACCGACTGAAAAATATATATTCAGCTGGGGCACAACACCATTAGGAAAGGATTTTCACTCAGTAGACAAAAGCTTTTAACAGATACACTACAAGTAGAGAGTAGAAAAAGTGTCCGCATCAGGCTTCCCACATCTGTAGCTGTCATTACTGTTAGTGCTATTGGCAGAACAAGAACAGCAGTAAACAATAACAGACCTCCAGTGTGCATCATGGAGGAATCTGCCCATATGCTCACAAACACGAGGTAATCTGTGGGGTTTGGCTTGTGTGTGTGTGTGTGTGTGTGTGTTATATGACTATCGCCTTGGCTGGGAAAAAGTCTCTTTTAATCTAAACCGGTTTATTGGAGATTTATACAGTAATAAGGGTAGTAGAGCGTCAACACCTGGTCAGCAGGTGGGGCTAGTACACTGTTTAAGCTGACTATTGACCATGCTGAAAGTCCAACCGCTTACAGCAATAATGTGAAGAAGCAGGAATACTTCATATATATTACAAACAGCTGTAATTATCCACTGATGACGCATCAAGCCAATGGTTAACATCAACGAAAACACATACTAGTAAACATCATGCAGGTTTTAGTCTAGAATTGAAGGCATGTGTGGAAAAAAAGGGGGGGGGGGGGATAAAAAATAAGCCATATTTTGCATATTGCATATTTTGCCAAAATTAGGGACTAGGAAGGTTGGGTTTGAAATAATAGTTTGGAGTTATTGATAAACTTATATTATAATAGATCAGGTGAAATTATGCAGTATCATTTAATTGTTGGATACAATCAATAAGGTCAAGATCTCTTAGGTGGGACAGACTAAAATCACAATTTCCACTACTTTTCATATGTTCATTTTATGTTAGACATGCGTTTATCAAACAAAGAAATCTAATAAATGTTACAAAAACACAGAATATAAAAGAAATGAAAACAAAAAACACAAAAACTAATTATTTCTAGTAATCAAAGAGAGAGTGGGAAAGTGACTAAATTATGCCTGTTTTTGGTGCCAAGAAACCATGGCTAATATTATCAAAGGACATTGCTCGGTGGTTTTCTTATCAATTGTTTTTTGTTATTACATTGTTGCAAAATGTGATAATGCACCAACATCTTGCACACGAAATCCAAATACGGACTAGTTTTTTCAAAAATGAACGCATCTGCAAGGACTCACCCATGAAGTTCAGGTAGCCCTCCCCTCCCAGGCTGTGGGTAAGCAGTCGGATCATCTTGTGGAGCTGGATCCCCCGATCAATAACGGAGTTCATTGGAATCAAAGCACTCATGTTGGTGTACATATCCTTGTCCATCAGCCAGAAGGCCAGCGTTTTGTCTCCCACCAGGGCCTGACAGAACAGGCAGATCAACAATGTGAGCACGAACATCACATTAGGTGAATTGTTTGCAGGTTGATGAATAGCTGTTGATTGGTTGTTCTTGTTATTGGGGGGGAAATAGGGAACAGCAACTATTTGTCTTGTACTAAGAAACAGCATGTGGGAGCATAAAAAGCACGGCTGAATGCCGGTCTGATTGTAATGACGCAAAACTGGCATAGACGATAATTAGCATCGATGATATAACTGCACCGTAGCTTAATGGGTAAGCTGACCTAAAAATGTAAATTCTGTCATTAATTACTCAGCCTCATGTCATACCAAACCCGTGTCGAAAAACAAATATTTTTCATTAAATCTGTGCACTTTGACCCCTTAAAAAGTTCAAAAGGAGATCATAAAACCTTTCCATACTGTATGAATTGAGTGGTTTAGTCCAAATATTCTGAAGAGACTCGATCGCTTTATATGATGGACAGATTGAATTTAGGCTTTTATCATATTTATGCTACAGGGCTGTTGAATGCTTGATTCTGATTGGTTGAGAACATTCTAAAGGTGTGCAATTATTTATAGGGAAATGCACAGCTAAAGTAGTTTCAGGCAGGTTTGACCGCATCACAGATCCATATCACTGAGCGTAATAAACTGTAATAACGCAAAATAGGATACAATTCATAACAAGAAAAAACATGCACTTGATCTGCAATTTTCGATGTCAATGTGAACTTCATCAATGGATGGACACATACAGTTTAATTTTAATAAATAAAGTAATAAAGTATGTAGTCCTGTCTATAATAGGCTAAATAGAAAATTAAACTGAATAGGCTATATAAATAAATTGATAGTCCTGCTGCACGGATTTTCGTACTTATTCCATATAATAACAAATAAATAGCCTAATTATTGATAGGCCTACTTGTTAAAGGGCTTTGCGTGTTTCATGTTTCATTGGGTTATCTACTGTCAATTATAGAAAACAAGAATGAACGAATTAATTAAAACAAATTGAATTAATAATTAAATAATAATATTGACGCACATGTTTTCTGTCTCATTATTTCAACATTTCTCTTCCTCTCTCTAATAACTGCATTAAGCTGGGACACACATTATGAATGTAATTTGATTCTTATGACTGATCATGCCCAAACGTCGATGGAAACAGTCGGTCTTCGAATGTTTCAGTGAGTCTTAAGTGCGTCCCCATCATTACTTCGCTTATCACCTCAGATGTGCATTATTTTTCTAACAATTCAACGGCCTGTCGTCAATTATTCCTCACATAAACATTCATCAACTCAGACATCAGTTGTGGTAAACGAAAGCTCAAGCATGTTCGCATGACGTGCGAGAACCAATGAGGTTCATTCTCGTGTTACGCAGCACGTTTGAGCTTCAGCAAGAACCAATGAGGTTCATTCTCGCGCGTCAAACAGGTTCGGTTGAGCTTCTGTTTATGTTCACTGATCAATGTTTATATGTGAATGGAAGACTAAATTCAATCTGTTCTTTATAAAGTGATCGTGTCTCTTCAGAAGATTTGGATCTCATCATATGGATTAGTTTTACAATCTCTTTATGAAATTTATTATAAAGCGTCAAAGTGGTAGTTGCGTAACTGTCAATGGAGGGACAGAAAGCTCTCAGATTTCATCAAAAAGATCTTCATTTGTGTTTTGAAGATGAGCAAAAGTTTTATGGGTTTAAAAAAAACGTGAAGATGAGTAACTAATCACAGAATTTTCATTTTTGGGTGAACTAACCAAAAGTATGACCAATCGCGATATAATCGAAATGAATTCGTTAAGAGGGACAAACTAGATCAAGAAATGTTTTGTATTTGAACCACCATCACATTCATAAGCACCACAGCTCAATAAGTTACAATTGTTAAGCCAAGGTCCCATCATCCATTCATATTTCAAGACATCCTTGGAAACTTTATCGCAATGCTAAACAGTCAATCTATTGAAGAAGTCTCAAAGTAAAGTTTTACTAATTTTAGCACGTTTCAACTCAAGTGTCTCATATTGAGTAGCACAAATCGTTATTCCCAGACCTTGGAAACAGAACAAAGAGGAAAAACAAAGAGAACAAAAGGCGGCAGGAGAAAAACAACAACAAATCACACCTAGCCGTGGCGTTAGCATGCGTACAAACAGGGCGGATGTGTTCATTTCTCATTTCACCCTAGTCCCTAGAGGACTGCAACCTGTTTTGACACCAATTACCATTCCCAATGACACATTGATTAGATTTCCTCTAGTCCACGCTGGAGAAATGAAGGTATCCGGGCAGAAGTACCTGGTCGTGGCTCTCGGCGTAAGCGATGCATTTCTCGCCGTATCGCCTGTTGGTCATCGTGAACACAATGTTTCCAATGTTCCAATCTTCGTCTTTGAATTCCTTAAGGATCTGAGAATGTAAGAGAAAGAATAAATAAATAATTGGAAAACAAGTAATCGGAGAGAAGGAGAAACGACTATCTCACAGTACTTCAATGGTTCAGTACTTCGACCTAAACATCCACATCCGTTGGTCTTGCTGGTCGAGCCAAAAGCCAGATTTCATTGTTATCTGGCAGCCTGGGCGCCATTTCTACAGTATATGAATCCATCAAACCACGGTAATGCACTCTACAGTAAGATTATGAAAGAGATTAGGGCGATACAGTTCTTGTTTATTTTATTTTGAGCAATATTGATTTTTTTTTTCATCTCATCTCAGTTTTCTGAGAATATACTGCCTCTTGCCATTTCAGAGAATATGTCCTTAACCAACTAAAAGTAGCAACACGGCCAATTTAACTTCAGTTTTCAGTTGCTGGACAGCAGCTCAGTTGCTTTAAGAGCACAGTAGCTTTTTCGGGGACTACTTTTTACAATGTGTAGCCATGCAAAATAAACAAAACGATGCTAGGACAAAAAGGCTGACCTGAAATTGAAGTCACTGAAAATCTTTCCCTCAGCCGTAGCACTCATGTGTGCAATTTCAATATGCGCATATTCAATTTACATCCTACATTATGTGAGTAAGAGGGTTCGTAGCAGCTCTTCAGAACAAACCTGATCTAAACACCTCACCTCAATTTAAATACAGTTCCTGAATATTATTTGCATATTTGCTAAATAAATTATTACATTATGTAAGTAATAAAGAAATGTGTACATAAATGTAAAAAAAAAAAAAACATTTCTAAATTTATTCCATGAATATTATTTACATATTTCACTAATACACTAATTCTAAATAAATTATTATTCATTTTTTTGCAAATGTTTTTTATTCACTTAAATATCAACAATATAAATGTTCCTATTTGTATCCCCTGAATATTATTGGTAATAAATTATTACATAATTGAAATATTTAATTAAAAAAAATATAAATTTGCATGTTCCATAAATAGTATACATTTTCCTAAACGTATTTCCTGAATATTATTTACATATTTCAATACACTATTTGTAATAAAGCAACTGATAATAAAATTGGGGGAATATATATATATAGTTATTCTTAATAAAGTATGAAACAATTAATTATAAAATTAAATTAAATAAATAAATACATTTGTGAAAATGTAAATAAATGTACAAGTACTATATTATATAATTATAAACATTAAATTAACAATAGTTTTCAATTTATGTACCGTATAAGAATGAATTATTACCGTTTCCAGTTGAGGCAAAAGAAGTTTGAACTATAACGGGATAAACTGAAATGGTTAAATTGTTGGTGATGATTTATCAAACACTACTTCTGTTTATAAATGATTTTTAAAGGCCTCATGTAAACATAATATTATATTAATTTCTTTAAGAAAACTTACAACCTGCTAGTTAAATTTTGCTTTAAGAACAAATGGTACACCCAAATTAGGTATACATTAGGTTACAAAACTAACTAGTACGTATTAAGTATGTAGTGGGATCTTACAAAATGCTGGTGCAACCCAACCCAATGAAATTTTGATATTTTAATATAATTAAGGTCCATCCCCAAAGAGTCATCCATGTGATGATAACATTCAATCGACAGTGCTACACAAACCACATCTACAGTATACCATCATATGGTGAGATAAAGGGAAAGCTGTAAGCTAATACGGAAAAAAAAAAATGCGGTGAGGAAGTCATTAAAGTGGCATCTGTCACATCACATCTCTGTCACCCTATGAGTAAAGAGAGTCAACATCCTCTGCTCCTAAACCTGAGACTTTTCTCACCACAATTCATTATCCAACTCTCACTCAAATGTATTCCAACTCTACTTTTCACCCTTAGCCCTGAGACGGTCCGCACATCTCATCCTCTAGTGAGAAGATTTCACTGGAACAGAACAATGATGTTTAGCTTGTGGGAGGACGGAAAAACTCAATGACAGTGTATCCAACACGAATTTGAAAACCTGACATGAATGCAAATGTTTATTTTGTGAAAAAGGGATGGGGTTAAAATAATATTATTGAAATAAATAATATTAAGCGCACTTAAAGAGTCACTGTGTTAAACATGCACTTTGTAATAATGCCAAATGAAAAGTTGTACATGTATTAATAACATTTTGTAATGCTTTTAAAGGGATACTCCACTTTTTTTGGAAATAGGCTCATTTTACAACTCCGGTTGAGTTTTACCATTTTCGAATCCATTCAGACGATTTTCTGACATTTAGAAGAACATCAGTAACCAGAGAGTTACTGGTCCCATTGACTTCCATGGTAGGAAAAAATTTATACTATGGAAGTCAATGGGACCAGAAACTGTCTGGTTACTGATATTCTTCTAAATATCAGAAAATCGTCTGAATGGATTCGAAAACGGTAAAACGCTACTGTTTAACTCTGGGGGAGTTGTAAATTGAGCTTATTTCCAAAAAAAGTGGAACATCCAGATAAGAAGTGCACTTGTTTTGATGTGTTTACTAGCATGCATGTTCAGTTCTTGATTATAATTTAACTGTCGTGTGTTACTTGACATTATATTTTAAGTTAATATATTTTAAAGGTACTAAAATTGGAACTTCGTCATTATGAATGCGTAATTTTGAAAATTTAAAACAAGTTTCAATAGAAATTAAAGGATATTTTAGTTTGCCATAAATGTTTGTCTGTACATTCAGCAATACACATAACCACATTTCAAAGACAAATTTTTTTTTACATACTACGATTTACTGAAATTCAGCTTGTATGAATTTAAACTGTAATAAATTTTCATTGAATTTCGATCAACATGTAATTACAGTATTTGTCTGACAACATTACATTCAGTTCACTTTAAAAAAAAAAAACTTTTGCTGATAATTTACTCACCCACATGTCATCCAAGATTTAAATCTTTTTTTTCAAGTCATTTGGTTCATTCAATGAACAAAATGAACGAATTGACTCGTAAAAAGATTAGTTCATTTTGATGAATGAGTTCGAACAGGAGAGTCACAAACGCGCATCACAGAACAGAGCAAGGTGACCATTTGAGCTTATAAAACTTAAACTTTGTTACATTTTTTTGGATGAGTGATCGTTTCGCTTGATAAGACCCTTATTCATCGTCTGGAATCGTTTAAAGCCCTTTGAACAATTTGCAGTTTGCACTGAAACCGTCTTTTGGACCTTCAACCGTTTGGTGGCCAGTAAAGTCCATTATATGGAGGAAAATCCTGGAATGTTTGCATCAAAAACCTTAATTTCTTTTCGACTGAAGAAAGAAAGACATGGACATCTTGGATGACATGTGGGGTGAATAAATTATCAGCAAAAAAAAAATGTCAAAAGTGAATAACTACTTTAAGTGTATTGGTTTACTAAATATTATTTCTGTAATAAGTACTCTTAATAAATATGTTGAAGTGTACTTCTTTTTCCACACTGTAAAATGTAACTGATGATCTTACTAATAACATTAAGTGAATAAAACTTATTTTGAATAAGTTTGTTGACCTTACTAAGTTTGATAAAGTAAGGACAACGTTTTAGCACGGTAAGTTATTAAACTCAAAAGATTTTATTAACCTCTACTTAAAATAATAAGTATGTTGAACATTTTCGAGTGGTCATGCGCAGTTCTACCAGTAGGTGGAGCCGATTTGAAAACGTAATACCATTATTTCGGATGAGGAAAGCACATGGAAAGGTGAGTCAGTGCTTTTTATGTCTTATTTTAATGTCTGAATTGCTTAATATACACAATTGACCGTGTAATAAATGAAACAGATTAAACAAACTAGCGTTACACATGAACATTGGATGTGTTATTTTAATCAAATTCTTGGATTGTGTTGGATTGTGCTAATCGAAATGAGCAGTCTAGCATTTGCAAATCGGTAGCCTAATCGTTAGGTCCATGCTTTCAATCAAGGAACATTTTTATGTTTTAATGGTTTTTATTGTGAGTATAATGTAGACTTAGAAAAAACTTTACTGATTTATATTTTAATGTTGCAATAATTATGTAGAAATATAGCAATGCTAAAATTAATATATTTTAACTTTTGGATTACTTCAAATTAAGGGTGTGGGATTAATTTATCCACAATCTGTTTTGAAAAAATATAGTAGTGTTGTGGTATAGCAAAAATTATTTTCAGTTCTGGCGCCACAGTCTCAACATTGGCTATAGGCCTATACTGTAACGTTACAACTCGACGTGCATTTACATCAGATGTTAACACACGGGAGTTACACTCACGGGACACTGCAATTCACAAGCTTTAATTATTTGCTTGTGCTTTAAAGCCTTGCCGCTTAAACGGTTAATTTGCGTGCTGTTCTGAAATGGGCGCATGTCATTTTCTGAGTGCATCAACCACAGTGCCTGATTACTAAACTTTATATTTCGCGTCTAATACTGTGGAATATACACAATGTTTTCATGAACACAGTTGGTTATGTCTAAAGTAAAAGTGAACTTAATTTAATCGGATGCGTTTATGTATTTCAGAAGCGTGCAGGTCTTAATCGACAGCAGTCTAATAATGAACGGCATAATGCGCCCTTTTCTTAAAGGGATAGTTCACCCCAAAATTAAAATGTGTCATCATTAACTAAATTTCATTTTGTTCCTTTATTAATTTCTTTCTTGTGCTGAACACAAAATAAGATATTTTGAAGAATGCGTGTAACCAAACAGTTGATGACCCCGGCCCATAGACTTCCATAGGATGATATGGAAGTCAATGGGGACCATCAACTGTTTGGTTACCCACATTCTTCAAAATAACTTTTAATTTGCAACAGAAGATTACATGATGATACAACTGTTTTTTGGGAGAACTATTCTTTTAATGTTAATAAAACAAAAGTCACTGAAAATCACTCACTTAAATACAGTGGCTTTAATAAGAATAAATTATTAATGTATAATGTCAAGCCAATTTATAGGGTTTATCTTATTTATATATTATGTTGT